CCTAGCTATTCATAGGCCAAATATTTTGAGCCGTATCATGATAACAGATTGAAGGTGAAGGTTGAATTCTGTCTCGAATCAGTCGCACACTACAGCCATAAAATCTTGAAAGTCTTCCTTGAATTGCAAGCAAGACCTTCCATAAATATTTGAACTTTTCTCTATCAATTTTGATGCCAATCCATTTCAAGAATCGAGTCGTTAACATCATCAGTCGAAATTGACTTTGTCGAAGTATTGTTTTCTGTTGAATGGAAAAGAGGTCAAAACAATTTGTTAGCTGATGAAATCAGAAGGAGGAAATTCGAGTGGTCTCAGGCCCCACAGATGAGGCGTCGACAGATATGCTTTCAAAAAAGTTTCACAATTTTCCTTTTTTTAAAAAATGCACGATGTCCTTCAAGAAATCTTAAAATGTCTAGTAATAACAAAGCAAAGCCAGTTGTTAACATGACATATAAAGGTAAAGCATGTCGGGTTACATATATGTAAAAGTGCGATCTTAAGGAGAATGAAAAATTACAAGCATCATCAAAAATACGCATTCCAGGAAAATCCAACTGACTTAACACCACATAGACGCAACGACACGTGTCTTGTCAGTGATAAGAATACTTGTTCTGAGTCAAGAATCACAAAAATCTTTTGGAAGCATCAGAAGTATGGAAGTTGCATTTTAAGGGCCTTGTCAAGTTTTAAACAGCTCCAAATCCCACTGATGCGTCCAAGAAAAAGAGTGCTGGTAAGTCAAAACAGATAGTTGGTAAAACTTTAAATATTCGCTTCTTATTGACTCTGTTAGGATTTGCCGACATCTACTCGCAGTATGGTGTAATATTGTTCAGGATGTTCATCTACTACCTCATGAGTGATGTGATAAGTTTACCAAGACGATTGAAATATTGAGAATGATGTCTGAAACCCTCCGAGATCATAAAAAGTATGAACTCTTTTGTAGAGCACCAAAGAAAGTAATACGCCATTGGCTTCTTTACCACCATGAACGAGATACATTGGATGACAAAAGGAGATCTGCAAACTGCCCATCATTGAAGACCACGAAACTGATACTGACAGCCTTTTAAGCCAGACTTATGGGAACGTTAGAAAGATCGCAATCAATTGTTCAGTCGATATTAAAGAATGAAGGGCAATGTATTTAGCCGAGATGTCACAACTGTCATCAATCCTACATATCTAATTCTAGATCTGCTAAGTCTGACTATCAAACTGATTGAGCCTCAGGATGTGCCAGAAAATGTCAAGACTTCATCAAAGCAACTAGATCAACTCTTATCGGGTCATTAGAAAATATCTGTGATAAAGATGTTAGAGAAGCGTAAAATATTTCTCAAGAAACTTGAAAATACAAGTCGACGTTGTTCACCAACCCAGCTTGAAAGCATCTGACCCAAATGATCTGTTGAAATAATTCCTTGGCTCGAAGAATCATTTCTATTGGCCCGGCATGGTCAGGTGGTTAGGGCGCTTGACTCGCAATCTGAGGGGTCACGGGTTCGAATCACCATCACACCAAACATGCTCGCCCTTTCAGCCGTGGGGGCGTTATAATGTGACGGTCAATCCCACTATTCGTTGGTAAAAGAGTAGCCCAAGAGTTGGCGGTGGGTGGTGATGACTAGCTGCCTTCCCTCTAGTCTTGCACTGCTAAATTAAGGACGGCTAGCGCAGATAGCCCTCGTGTAGCTTTGGACGAAGTTCAAAAACAAACAAACAATAATTTCTATTACGACATTTAGATGATCCAACAAGCAATTTCAGTCACTTGTATCAAGCATTCGTGTGAATTCGTTTTAGAGTCTATGGTGTTTGACGAATGGCGACAGTTGGATGGAGAAAATGCAACAGAAAAATATCAGATTGTTGTTAATGGACCAAACCCGTCTCACGCTGCTCCAATAATAATAAAAAAATGACAAGTATTCCTATTAAAAAATCAAATAATTATCCATGTCATTTTCATAGGATCACCGTTTTTGAGTAAATACAACAGTTTGGTAGAGGATCTAAAGTTAAAAGTCGTACTAAGAAAAGACCAAGCTACTTTATGGAATTCTCAAAGGAACTGCTGAAGAGGCTTTTTTTTGTACCATTTCAAGAATCTCTCGAGGTTTTCATAATTTCATTGTTTTGTTTTACAAAGCAATGTTTGTTATGATAGTTTAATTTGAAGTATATTCACCCGAAGGCTTTAGGATATTCTTGACGTCCAAGCCAATTTTATTTTTCAAAAATTCTATGTAATTTTCGATATCAATAATCAGTGTTAAAAACTGACTTTCATACAACAATTTATTAGGTGAAGGCGTTAAAATATCTTTATAAATTTATATAAATTCGCTTTTTTGGCATTGCGACAAGCCACTTGTTAATACGAATCTTAATACCAGTGAAGGACGCTTAACGCATATAAGGAACATGTGAAACAACAGAATCACAATTATTATAATAATAACCTGGCAGAAAATTTTGGCCAGGTGGTTAGGGCGCTCGACTCGCAATCTGCGGGTCGCGGGTTCGAATCGCCGTCACACCGAACATGCTCGCCCTTTCAGCCGTGGGGGCGTTATAAGTGACGGTCAATCCCACTATTCGTTGGTAAAAGAGTAGCCCAAGAGTTGGCGGTGATGACTAGGTGCCTTCTCTCTAGTCTTACACTGCAAAAGTAGGGACGGCTAGCGCAGATAGCCCTCGTGTAGCTTTGCGCGAAATGCATAACAAACAAACAAACAGAAAATTTTAGCTCATACTGTCTATCCGTGTGAACTGCAGTTCACCACCATTTGATAGAGCTTAGAAACTTTATTCTAAAGTAGAAACATGCCATCATACACATAGACCCGGAGCTTACCATCAAACTCCACCAGCTTGCATATACTATGTTGTAATTTTGAGACATGTCGTCATGCAACTAGACTAGAATTCACCACAACTACACGCTTGGTTTTGCTCTTTGATTAGTCCTTGATCAACATTTCCTGCTTCTGACAATAAGCAGAAATCTACAAAACCGGTTTAAAGAGCCTTTTGCTCTTTTTTTTTTTTTACCCAAGTTCAAACTTGTGGTGATGATAGAAAAATGTGTATTCTGAACAAAGTTTCTCTGGAGAGTTATTTGGATGAATTAGTCAATATTACTATTATGATTTACTAGCAGAGACCCGCAAAACATTTCCGGACAAATTAGTATCTTTATCGTAACAGTACTTCTTTAAATATAACATTTCTAGCACAATACAAACGAATTGTAATCGTAGACAGCGAAATGTGT